CGAAATGAGATCAGCACTCAATGTAAAACAGCAAAACTGTCCTTTCTAATACCTCCAATTTCTGAATATTTCTCATTGCTATAGTTTTTCCTTTATCCTTCCCACTGTGTATTCATTAAACAGCAGAATAACAAAAATACTAATCAAACCCAGTGTGTACACCAGAGTATTTATTATACTGCATGTTGCAAAACATACCATGAACCTACTCATAAAAAGAATTCACAGGAAGCCACCTATGACATATTAAGAAACATAAATGAACAAAAATAACATCTGGCTCTCCACTAGCTAAAAGCTATAATAAATGCAATGAAGCAAATACCTTCCAGTAATTGAGGATCCTTTGTAAATAAGGCCTGTAACTGATCAATACAAAGGACTTTTTAAAAACTTTCATCTTTGGAGGCTTTATTCAGAGGAGAAAGCAAAGTTGTTCACAAGAAAAAAAGTAGTTAGAACTATTGTTGTTTAGCTTACAAATAAAATAAAGTGACTTCATGTTCAAGCAACTGGGGAAAAAAACAAGTCCTTTAGAAGTAGTAATGAATCTACATCTAAATATGCATTTGACCAATCACGAACTTGTAAGACTCTTGGAAAAACACCCTAACAGCACAACCAGTACCGGCCTGCTTGTTAGATAACACAGAAACAGATTGTAGTCTAAATGTATGCTAGATTTCAGAACATTCTTGGTTTCAGAACCAAACCCAGGCCCTGATGGCTACTGATATTTTATAGTCATGAAATAGGATCACTGAGACCACTAATATTAAATTGGATTTGTATATTCAAAAAACAAATCCAGTATGAGCTGTGGGCATGCCTCAGGTAGCAGAGTGCTTGCCTAGCCTGCATGAGTCCCTGGCTTCTGATCCCTAGTACTGCAAAAAATAGTATAAACAACATTATCACTGAAATCAGAAATTACAGACCTGATTTTGTTTTGTTTTGTTTGCAGTACTGGGGCTTGAATTCAGAGCCTACACCTTGAGCCACTCCATCAGCCCTTTTTCTTTGTGTGATAGGTTTTCTCAAGATGGGTCTCATGAACTATTTGCCCAGGCTGGATTCAAACCTGGATCCTCCTGATCTCTGCCTCCTGAGTAGCTACGATTACAGGCCTGAGCCACCAGCACCCAGCTCTAGACCTCATATTTTAGATCAGAAGTTGATGACAACCATATCAAAGTACCTTCAGAGAGTTCAAGAATGCTATCGCTTTCAGGCAATGTTACTGACAAGCTGAACTTTGAAGCTTTTAGGAACAGAAGGGAGGAAATCAAATAGCATCTTAAGTGCACTATCTCTCATAATGGAAATTTGTTTAAAATTAAGAACATAAACTGTCTGGCATAGTGTCATATGCCTATCCCAGCACTCAACAGGCTGAGTCAGGAGGATCACAAGTTTGAGGCCAGCTGAGGCTACAGAACAACAACCTGTCTAAAAAAACAAATACAAAAACCAAACAAAAAACCCATAAACTAAGGAGTGAAATGGAAGACTAGCTATGTAATTTTCAAAATTACATTATGACTCAAGCAGCAGATGCCTGCTTTATAAGAATGAACACCTGAGTTCAAACACCAGCTCTATCAAAAAAAATAATAATAATAATTCAAGCTACACACAAGAAAACATCACACTGGTAAACTTTAATGTGGGCACAGAGCCAGGCACCGGTGGCTCACAGCTGTAATCCTAGCTACTCGGGAGGCAGAGATCAGGAGGATCTCAGTTCAAAGCCAGCCAAGGCAAATAGTTCATGAGACCCTATCCTAAAAAAACCTATCACAGAAAAAGGGCTGGTGGAGTGGCCAAGGTGTAGGCCCTGAGTTCAAGCCCTAGTACTACGCAAAAAAAAAAAAAAAAGTGGGCACACGCATGACAAAAGATGATAACAGGGAAAATACATAGGCCATATCTCAACAAAATGCCCAAATATTTCTTTCAGAGGAAGTATAAATCATTTCAAATAGGTTTAGATATTACTTTTTTCCTAAGGAAAAAAGAAAAAAATGTAAGATAAAATATTGTACATTATTTTGTAATATAAAATACTGTATCATTTCATTTATTGAAGATAAGCTCACCTTTTTTTTTGAGATGGGGTCTCACTATGCTGCCCAGGCTAGCACTCCTAGGTTCAAGTGATTCTCCTGCCTCAGCCTCACAAGTAACTGGGACCACAGGCATATGCCACCAAGCCCAGTTAAGGGTAAACCTACTTTAAAACATGTATTTGTTCCCCATAGCTACTACTGGGACATAATATAATTTGGGTGATTAACAAAGATTAAGTATATATTGGCGCAAGGTGTTGTGGCACAAATCTGTAATCCGAGCATTAGAGACCGCTGGCAGAAGGATAGTGAGTTAATGATTTCATTGAGATCAGCCTGGACTACATAGTGAGACCCTACCTCAAAAAAAAATTTTAAAAAGACTATATTAGTCCTTAGACAAATGCAGAAAACAAGCAGGGAGTCACATAAAATAAAAGACTTTCTTCTATTAGCTTAATCTATTTGCAGACAGCTGGTTTCCAAGCATTAGTTTGTAGCTCTGTGTACATGGAAGCCTAAAAGATTTTCTTCTTCTACCATCAGTCACTAAGGGCTACACACATGGCTGGGACAATTAGGACTTAAATCCTTTTAACAAACACCAATTAAAGAAAACTCAGCTAGGCTGGTGGAGTGGTTCAAGTGGTAGAGCACTTGCCTAGCAAGCATGAGGCCCTGAGTTCAAACCCCAGTACCACAAAAAAAAAAAAAAAGAAAAAGAAAACTCAGCTGGTTGACTGTACTACTGAGGTTCAAAGAAAATATGAAGCATAACAAACATAAAGGCAATCCATGGAGCTCCTCTGCAGAGGGTACTGTCTCCCCACACTCCAAATTACCACTCTATGAAACATTCTTTAGGTAATACAACTGAAAACATTCAGGAGGAATACATATGACAAACACAGATGGAACCACATGACCAAAAGCATAAAACCAGCAAAACCTGGATTACTGAGCAGTTCTGTTTGGTTGCAGAATACAAGAAATAAAGCAGAAAAAAGTGGAAAGGTGAAAAACACACAGGAAAGAAAAAGTAAAAAGGCAGATGGGGCTATCCTGTACAAGAACTCACCTATAAAACATTTGGTATAAAACACTACTATAATGTTGAATTGTGGTGAGGCCTAAAGACTGAAAATATTTATTTCTAAAGCTGAATTCAATTATAGGGCATGCGGGAAGTATAGTTGTGTAAGTACAAGAATCCGAAGGTTGGTATGCTGAATTGAGTCCAATAAGATTACCTTTAATAGTGTTCTTGTCTCCCTAGGGTATGAATAATGGCTGTCTTTACCTCATTATAAGCTTCTTGTCAATAGCACTCTGAATTAGCACTTTGATTTCAAAGCAGTCTGATGTTCAGCTATTATATCCACTTTTTCTTTGTGGTGCTGGGGATCAAAACCAGGATTTCACACATGCTGGGCAAAGCACTCTACCACTGAGCTACATCCCCAGCCTTATATCCATTTTTTAATTCATCATTTGTTGAGTGCTTAGTGTGTAACAGAGAATATATTATGTTACATACTCTACCTGGATTATATTAAAAACACCCCCAGAAACCACTTCATAAAACCAAAAATTTTACAGATGGAAGAGTACATCAAGTTTCCTCAAAAAAGGGTTAATTCTACACTAACAGAATTGGGATGAGAATTACATAAAGGATATGTATATCCTGCTTGATTAAAAGGATCAAGCCAACTAAAAAATCTTGCCAGGACTCAGAATACAGAAAACAGTAATAAGCAACAGCACTGAGTACAGCATATCCTCAAGAGAGTATAAATCCACTATAATAATCCCCAAGACACAAGACATAACCATTTCTTGCAATTTCCCTAAAAGTAGAAGGAACAAAATAGCAGCTGTGAAATCACCCAGACTACTAAAAAAAGCTCAGTATCTCAAAAAAAAAAAAAAAGAAAGAAAGAAAAGAAGGAGGAGGAGAAAAACTATCTCCTAATCAGCAACACATGCCAAAAAACGACGTTATCTACACACTAGTCATTTCTGGGGTGCAGTTAGAAAAACACCAGGATGACAGTCGCTATCATGTGGCCAGAAACCAATCCACCAGCAATCTGTCTCACGTGAGATCACTTTCTCTGCAAGACAGGGACCCCGCTTGAGCACAGCCTCCCCGGGAATAATGGTCTAGTGACGAAACTCTGGGGGGGGCCGAGCTGGCCCCGCCTGTGCACAGGTACAACAGCCCCGCAAGCCGAGGGATATCTTTCCAAGCCGACAGATGCGCGAACTGCGAAAGGAGGTCACGACGCTGAGAATGCATTTAACCCTTTGCTCGCGGGAACCAAGAGGGCGACGAAAGGGGAGAGGCACTGGATCTGCGGCTTCCGAGATTTTTTTAATGATGCAGGTGCCTGTGGCGGGAAGGTCTTGAAATGCAGCGAGGCTCCCTGCACCCTCCGATTCCTCCTGACTTCTCCCAGTAGCCCCGCTCCCTCCTCGCGGGGGAATCGCGCCGCGGCTGCACCCGACACCTTGGCCGTCGGAAACCTGCAATTCTCCCCACCAGGTTTGCTAGCGAGGCTCCCGCCCACCGCACAATGACTGACAGGCCAGAGGGGAACCGAGTGCCCCTCGTCCGAGAGACACCCCCGGCCTAACTTTGAAGCGCTGTTCGGCGCACTCCCTCCACACACGCCTCTACAGCCCCCTGCCCGCCCCTAGCTCATCAGGCCGCTTCCCGGCTCCAGCCCTCGGCCTCCGGCGTGCAAACGAGGCCCCTCGGCTTGGAGAGCCCGCGCCCCGGGCCCGGGGCCTGCAGGGGGCCTTGAGACAAAGAGGCTACGACGCCGCCGCGGCCGCCAGGACCGTCCCCTCGGGGACCGCGCCGCGCCCCCCTTCCCTCCGCCTCCTGGCTCGCGCGCTGCAGCCGCCGCAGCCGCCTTGCCTCACCGGTAGCTCGCGGCCGGGGCTCCCGCGCTTGCCGCTGCTACAGCCCGACGAACAATGGCAGGAAGAGGCGCCGGTGTCCGAAGCTCCAGCCCTCTGCGGCTCGCGGGCTCCCCGGCTTCTGGCTGACTGGCTGACTAGCTGACTGACTAAACCTACTGGCGAAGGGAGGGAGCGGTGGAGCGAGCAGCCCCGCCGCGCGCCCTCCCGCCTTTCCTTCGCTAGGCGAGGCCGGCCGGGTCCGCAGCCCGCCCGCGCGCGCCCCTCCCCCTAGGTTCGCCACAACATTGTAGTAAATTTCTATTGGACAGCGCGGGAGGGAAGGAGGGGGCCGGGCTCGCGGCACGCCAACCTATTGGCTGAGGCCAAGTTCTGACTCCTCAGGTCTCCCTCCTCCCCTAAGCGGGTAAGGAGAGGGAGGGGAAGGAAAAAGGGGAAGGGGGGGCTAGCCGCGGTGCGCACGCGCAAATCAATCCCTGTCTGGAGCCCAAACCCGTGAGTTCCCAGCTCCAGTAGCACCCGCGTGGGGAATGAGGGAGCTAGCGCCCTGAACGCACATGAGGCCTTTCCTTCCAGAGCAGGGGAGGTAGAGAGCGAGATTTCACCTGTCTTCTGCATTTAAAACTCTTGTAACTCCTCCCCGCCACCCTCAAAATCATAAAAACTAGCTTCCACGGCCTGTTGCCCAGATGAACTGGGGTTGCTCCGACGATTGTCCTAACGTGTATTTATTTCCCTAGAAGTTTCAAAGGCCCCTGTCCCTTTACTCTGTCGTGTGGTCTCTGAACGGGGCTGTAGTCCCTGAACGGGACTGTAGTCCCACAGAGCAGAAAGACGACTCAGTTTTAAGCATGATACCCAGCAGGTAAGGTAAGTTCTGGCATTTCACTTTAGAGATGAGAAAATTGAAGCAGAGAGACTTAGACCTGCCAGGATAAGAAGCCAGACCATCTGACATCAGAGCCTGCACATGCCAGCTAGATGTGTCCTGTTGTCTAAGCACAGCCCAACCTCAGCTCAACCTCGGTAATCAGGTTGCCGAAGTTCAGTGCTCAGTCTCCAGCCCTCCCGAATTGTTTGGCCTTCTCTGTGCCTCAGTCACTGACCCCATAAAAGGGAAAGAATAATAGTTCCCATCTCATAGAGTTACTGTAAGAATTAATTAAAATATGTAAAGGACTTAGAACAGTGGCTCATACCTAGTAAGGTCTCAATAAGTGTTAATTATTACTACTATTTAGAGATTAAAATATCCACTGAGAGGTGTGCAACTGGCTGATACAATAATAGATTTGCTAAGCACTCAATTGTCAGCTCCAAGCTGAGCACACTACATAATATGGGTTTGAAACATTCTAAAGCCCCTTGAGGACCACATGAGTACTCCATCTAAAACGGGGTCCACTCACACACCCTTGCCCTGATATAATCATACCACTTTTTCATAACATTTACCCCACCTGACTTTCTACTACTTGTTTAATTGTTCACTTATTTATTGTCTCTCTCAAATAAATTGTTGCAATCAAGACCCATCAGACTGCAAGTTCAACAGGACAAGGACTTTGTCCCTCTTGCTCATCTTTCAGAACAGTGCACACATTATTAAATATTTGTTGAACAAGTGAGTGAATTCTCCCCATTTTGTTGATAAGGAAACTGAGGCAGGCTTAGTAAGTTCATGTGTCTTTGACTAGGGTACTAGAAGTGAAGCACTTGTTCTTAAACACTCTCATCCCCTGCTTCAAGTCCTCAAGTTCAGCTATGCTTTTGAATCGCAAGCTCTAGACCTACCACTTCTGGTCCTCAAAGACTTCCTTCACCTATCAGGCAGGGAAATCTGGCACCATAAATGATAAATATTGAAGATCATCCCCCAGATAGCACACCACTTCCATTCCTACCATATTATCCAGCAAATTCAGGTTCATTAAAATTAATATTCTCTGTGACTTGAAGTGCTAGCCAGTGGCATGTGAAATTTAAAGATGCTTAGTTGGATGCATGGAATTTGTAGCACTTAATGATCATCACCCTGAAAATAAATAAGAGGTCTCAGGCTTACAGGAAAAGGTTAGACAGGACTGATGGAAAATCTCTCTTGGATTCAGAACACTGTACCAAAATCTGCTGGCCTAGGTTCTTAGAATCTCACAGTCCTGAATTCCAGTGCTAGCTTTTAATTCTTAGCCTAGAGATAAAAGGACTTTTTAAATTATAAAGTACTACCCCACATGTGAGGGATTTTTATTATTAATTATGCCCTATCACCTGTTAGGTTAAGTGTGCTATCTCTGAATATAGCTGGGCCCATCCCATACTAGAAACTGAGGGATAAATAACATCCATTCTGAAGGCAGAGAAACTATCCCTACTTCTGTGCCCATCTGCCAAACCAGACATCCAGTCCCAGCTCACCCTGCAGCAACTGCCGTTGGATACCAGGAGTAAAGGTCCCAAGCACCATCTCTGAGGCTAATTTCCTAGGCAGAAACAGCTCGGCTCCATCCTCACGTTTGGATGGTGGCTTTGCCATGCTCCAAGGCCCAGGATGGGATCCCCTAGGGGCCATCTGCATCCGCCTGCCAGCTGAGCCCACCACTAATTCCCCCATCACCCCTCCTGTTCCTTCCTAGGGAATACAGGCCCTGCTAGCTATCTGTTAGCCCCTGGAGCAGTCAAGGGCACTAAGCAAAAAAACAAAAAGACAGCATAAAAGGGTTTTAATCCTCCCACTTTGCAAACTGAGCTCCAGCAAAAGCAAACACCAGCTGCACAAGAAGGTGAAATTAGATGGAGAAATTAGGTAGTGACCACTGGGGAGGACCAAGAAGGGGAGATGAGGCTTCTGATGGCTTGGAAGAGATGAGATTGGAAGAAAGAGGTAGTAGGGTAGGGGAAGAGTTGGAGTCTGAACCATACCCAAATCTGGGACGTGGACAGATTAGGGACACAGTTGGCCTGAAGCCCAGGTGATAGGGCTCATGGAAAATGTTTGTTGTGGAGGGCAGGAAGAGATGAAGAGTGCGTTGAAAAGCAGGGCCCATCAGCAAAGTGTTCTGAACTCACTACTGGTACCAAAAGTACACAAAGAGGAGAGTGTTTCATCCTGCCCATGGTCATAAACTTGCAGTCATTTTAGACTTTTTAGACACAAATGATAAATCAAACAAGCTATGGCTATTGGAATTGCTGTTCCTATAGTAGAATGCCTTTCTTTCTAGGGGATTGTTTTTATTAGGGGTACTTGAATTATTCATAAAAGTTTTAGAAAATATAGCTAAATAAGAATATAGTCAAGTACAAATGTAAATCACCACAAAGTCAACAGTCAAAAATAAACACCATCAATATTTTCTACTATCTTTTCTTATACATACACTCTTTTACTTACAAACAGTACATTAAATAACATGCAATTCCTGATTCCCTAGGTTCAAAGTGGTCACTTATCAGCAATTGCATCCATCTCAACGTAATGTTTTCTAACAGCCTTAGACGGTACTGTTTTGGAACTGAGTTTTTTCACTTAACAGCAAACATTTGCATCATCATTTTTAACAGTGCTATAAGTGGATGTTCTGTAATTTGGTTAACCATATTGCTGGACAGTTAGGTTGCTTCCCATTTTTCTCTTACAAGTGATACTCAACAAACATCGTCTTACTGAAATTATACCTATGACTTTTCTTAGGATCCATTGAATACGGCATGTTTTTCTTTTTACTAAAGCATACAAGCCTGCCTGTTCCAGTCCTTTCTGAGACAGAGGCAAAAGAAACTAGCAGATGCCGTACTTTTGTGCAATGCCTTGTCTTTCATATTTGAAAACACAGAGGGCATGTTTTGACCTCTGATAGAATATACTTTTTTTACAAAAAACTTCTGTGTACAATAAAAGAAAAAAACTAACTGTGATTAAAATCTTTTCATTGAAGTTGCCAAGGAAACAGTATCCAGAAATAAGGAGAATGGGAAGGAAGTTGAAATTATAAAGGATGACCCAGTGGACAATTCCTAAGACATTCTTTTGGGCCTCTAGTTTCACCAAATGTTAAAACTGATTAGGCCCTTAGAGATCATCAAGCTCAAACTGCCAACTTTTAAACAGATTGGGAAATGAATCCAAAGACTGGTAAACTTGCCCAAGGTCACACAGCACAGTGGTGGCAAAGTCCAAACTTGAACCCAAGTCTTCCAACCTTACTACAGGGTTCTAGTCACAGCTTTATTCCAAGTCCAACTACATTCACTCTCCAAAGCTATAGGTCAAGATAAAATCTACAACCATCAAAGCTAGGAATATCTGAGCTAGAAGAGCCCTTAGAGATAGTAACAATTGGGCATGGTAGCTTATGGCTATAATCCCGGCACTCTCAAGTGTGAGACCAGCCAGAACTACATACCGAGAACCTGACTCAAAAAACCAAATAAATAGATTAAAAAAAAAAAGAAAGACTGGAAGCTCAAATGGCACAGCACATGCCTAGCATGTGCAAGGCCTTGGGTTTGAGCCCCAGCAACACAAAAACAGAAAAACAATCTAAGAATATAACAGCTACTTTTATGAGGAATTTACTATGTGCTGGGCACATACTAAGTCCTTTATATGTATTATTGCACTTAGCTTCACAGCAACCCTACAAAGTATTATTGACCCAATTACATGCGAAGAAACTACAGCTTAGACTGTTAGTGACTTGCCTCTGTCACACAGTTTAAACTAGGCCTGTCTGAGGTCGCCAGCCTCTATTCCACACTGCTTTCATGTTACTTTCAGAAAAGCAGCTTGGAAATTATGTGAATGGGCAACATCACCATCTGCCCCAGGAAGAGACTGTTGTGGCTATGATGACCGCAGCCCTGGACATCCAAGGAGGGAACCAAGGATCTGGACTCCCATGACCCGCCCCAAACCCCTTTTCTCGCCAGGTGGAGGGAGCCCAGTGACCCTGATCCAGCAAAGCCTCTAGCTCACTCAAGCTTAACCCAGTAAATCTCTCTCCCTAGAGCAGGGAACTCTCACATTCTGAAGGGTTTCCCAAGAGACAGAGAGGCCCTGTGCCACCAGCTAACTGAGACCCTTCTAAGACTAGTAAAGTAGGTCAGCCCAGTCCTCACCTGGGGGAGGAAAAGGAGAGAGGAGAAGATACAGGGAAGCAGAGGAAATTACATACCCAGAAATGGCTGGGCTTGACCTCCCCCAAGTCTCTGCAAAGCTGCTGTCCCTGGGCAGCTCCTGAGCTGCCTAACTTTCAGCTAACCTCAATTTTCAAG